GGGGGGAGTGCATTTGCTTGGTTGTCTTATGAATTATATTCTCGCTTTTTGTTAAAATGGATGGGAACAGGGGAGGGTACAAACACCAGCTCAAGATTCACATTTTTGATTAAGCGTAACATTCCAAACTGTATTACCTGTTATTAATAAACTCTTGTGGTTCTGTTTCGTAATACCAGTTGTATTGATCATTCCAAAGATTATACTTGAGAGCAGCTGGCATCTGGATCTTCCATGTCCAATCTTTTGGTCCTGCCTCTAGAATAAGAACTTTGTTTTCACCACTGGCTGACAGGCGATCGGCAAGGACACTCCCCGCAGATCCAGCTCCACATATGACATAGTCATGGGATGAAGAAAACTTTACGGTGGACTGAAAACATCGTGGCTGGAAACTAACGTGTTTGACTGAAAACGACCAGAGAGAGAGTTATTGTCATGTGAAGAACAACTCGACGAAAGCGAACAAATGCTCGCATATTTCAAGAACTTTGCGCAAAGAAGGTTACAATCAATCCGAAATCGTTCCTGTATTCAAGACCGTAGTTCTGCCAAAACTTTTGTTCGCTTTAGCTGATTATGGTGCCTCGAAATCTGATTTCTCCATCGTACAAACCTTCCTTGATCACTGTTTTAAACGTAAGTTCTGTTCTGAACATATCAATGTTCACAACCCTCTGGAAACACAAGACCGTGACATTTTCAAGAAAGTATTTTCTACCTAGAATCAAGTCTACCCATTATACCCTTAGAAGGAAATTCTCTGTAAAACCCAATATCAATACGGTCCGCTCCATGAATACCTGTGTAAATAGATTAGTCTTTAAACATAATTTAGCATTAGAATAGGAGGGGGGGTGATTCTACATATTTTATACTCGGTACGCTTTAGATTTTAACTTATAAAATAAGAAAAGTATTTTCATCCTGTGAACGAATAGAGACAGTATTATTATTATTTTTTTATTTTACTTAAGGAAGTTTGATTGCATCGAGATAAGCATAAAAATACAAAAATCAATTGTGAAGATGATTAATGCTTATATTTCATCTTACAGAGTATGAGAAACCGCCTCGTGAAAGACAGTCTTTTGACCTTCACGCAAGAAGCCATCGTGACAGTCCTCACTCGTACCTCATTGCTTCATCTGAAAAGGAATGCAAAATATACAAAGTGGTGCCAAATTGATATACTACACTTCAAATTAAAAAGAAATTTTCGATACTGCTAATCCTGGTTTTATGGAGGCACATGTCACGTGACAATTACACGGTCGTAAACAAGGGTTAATACAAGACATGCAAGTGTAGAAGTGATACGGTCAAATGGACATTTTATTGTATTTTAGAGAGTCACGTTTTAGCGTAACGCAACATGTCTCGTACTACATTGTAAGGGCAGAAGCTTATGTAAATTTTGAGCAAATGATTTCCCATTTATGATGAAAACATTTCTGTTATTCTAATAGATCTAAAGAAGCACAGGCAAAAGGGCCTCTGGAGTGAGTCACGCTATGTTAAGGGAAGCCATTTCCCTCGCTTTCCCTAGTCGCTCTATCTGCCGACCGATAATGTTGTTGCTTTAGTGGACGCTTCGTTAAAAGTGTTTCAACGTTTCGTGAAGATTTTTAATTTGCACTTTTTCCAAGTGTGTCCAAGTGTCTGATGCAAGACTGATATAAAACCCGGAAATCCCATTCAAATTCTCACTATTTCTTCTGTATTAGAAAGTTTGGAATGTTCAAAATTGATCGCTTTAAGATATGACCTTCAGGTCTGGGTCGTGATATCACCCAACCCCCTGAATCAAATCTGTACAGTTAACCATCAAACAGTGAAAGTTTTAAACGGATTGGGAGCGCGATGAGATTAGATATGATGCAAGAGGACCAAATCGTATAGATTTGCTGCCAGTGCCCCATGACCAGAGGACGAAATTTACCACGGCTATTATGACATTTTTGAATTTGTCAAATGAGGAGATTGTAAAAATGATTAACGCTGCCGAAATCCCAACTTTTCGCCCGGCGGATCCGGCCATCACATCCATAGAAGGTGGACTGGTAGAAGACAAATGGAGAATACTAACCTCGCTCAGCTCGGAGCTTACCTGATCCTCTCACCTGTTGCAATTACAGTTGCAATCCATTTCATTCAAAGGTTTTTAATAAGTTTATCCATCAGGTGAGAAGCAGCTGTGAGTAAAATAAACTGACGAGGAGGGGGTGCGGAATGAGGCTCGAAGAGTGTGGAACGCGGGGGGAAGGGTGGCTGGGGGCCGCCTTCTATGCCGGCGATTTTTGAAATTGCCAGTCACGATAATCAGCAGCGAGACAAATTTTTACTTGTTTCCAGACCCTTTGAATATTTATAACAATGCGTGCGGTTACCAAGCATAGGTAAGTTGTCCCGGGTGGTAGGGTAACCCGACCTGTGAAATTTTGCTTGTAAACCCGGGCTATCTTTGATCCGCCTGCTAGGGTAACCTTTGCACAAGGGTTACCCTCCTTGCTTGTAAACAGGGCCTTACATACGTGATCCCCCGCTGGCCGATTTTTTCCATTTTTTTCAATCTTTTATAATGCTGGTACTTCAGAATTCTTTCTCAAGAAACTCATTCTAGTGATACAAAGGTGGCATTATAAAATTTGAATTATGCTTCTCTCTTCAGAGAGGCCTCACATCAAACTCGAAGTCGTTACCAGTCTCCCGACCCTATCAAGTTCCAGTCTTTCGCAAGCACATCTTCGAAGACTTCTGTTGCATTGGTATCAACGTTTTGCATCTAGTTAACTACCGTCTGATTTAACGTTTTCATCCATTTGACTCCAATTCAGGTGAATTTCCGTCTAGATATAATAATACCTCTGTAATTTTTAAAAATTACGCCGGTAGAACGGCGCTCTCTCTTGTAGCTTAGCCATGTGCACCTAGAGAGCGATCTCCATATGTAGGTCAGTGGTTTTACTGCATCGATCAGCCTTCACGACAATCGAATGGTGGAGGGGCAGAACTGTTTAAGTGTGCCTATGCGAATTTCTAACAAAATAACGCTCTTAAAGTCGCTTCCGTTCAAAAATATTGACGTTAAATAGAATCTACTAGCTCATTCTTGCATTGAATTTCAGGATTGCATAAGTCACCAAAAATTCATTGTCACTTTTTTCACCCTTTGCGCCTTGACATCAGTATGGAAGGTCTCGATACCATTCTCTGTACATTACTTAAGGAGCTGACAAATAGAATTTTTTTTGACAATGAATGCTTCTTTGGTTGGTGATCATTTCCTTAATTCTTCTGACTTTTGTGCGATTCAGTGGTGATATTGTAAGGAGAAATTAGATGCTGGTCACTCATAGGAGTTCTAGGGTTGACTGAATAATCATAAAACTAACATTTTGTATATGAAAAACTCCAAGGTAATCAAAAATATTTTGTGTTACGAGTGAGACATTGCTTATTTGTTCTTGACATTTTTCTTTTCTATGTTTTCAAGGGGAAATTTTTATTATACAGGATAAACCTCATAGATTGTATTACATTGAATATCAAGTAAATGTATCATAACACATTTCCGTCTATGATATGGTAGATTCATTTCAGTTGGATGTGTGGTTGATTTCTACCTACCACTGCACTTGCTTCAGAGTCACACATCTGAGTAGAGCAGAGCATCTAATTTATCAATCAAATTAACTATTGTACCATCTCTCCTTTTCAAGGAAAATTTCATGGCCTCTTTCTTGAAGCTTAAAAGATGTTTCTATCGAAACCCAACTCCTTCTTTTCATTTTGTAAAAGGTATGTGTCTGATTATTAACTTGCTGTTTCATTTTGGTCCCATGTTTTACAGCCTCTGTGACCAATTACCACTCCTACTGATGAGCATTGATTTATTATTAAAAACTGGATCATTGGATAATGCAATTCAAGACTTTTTATTGGCTTAGCCATTATGGTATATGAGCCAATATACCATAATCTAATATCCATACATTGTAACATTGGGTTTCTTCTTACAAAATAAAGTCAAGAAGATTAATTGTGTCTAATATCTTGGGGGCGTTCTTTTTTTTTTAATGAAACAATTATTCCACTGGCACTTGTTGGATATGAGATGATTATAGCCAACGAGGCGCTACGCTCCTCGTAGGCTATCTATCATCTCATATCCAATGCGCGCTCGTGGAATAATTGTTAATTATACAACATGCAGGGTTGACAATCAGGGCTGTAAATCTTCACATCTATTACAGCTGAGATCACGTACAGTAATATCATGGGTGAAGACGTTGATTGTCACATCATACTGTCTAGGTAGATATCTCAAATTGGTAACGTAAATTGGCCACCGTAACGATTACAAAAGCTGACGTTTCGAGCGTTAGCCCTTCGTCGGAGCTCCGATGAAGGGCTAACACTCGAAACGTCAGCTTTTGTAATCATTACGGTGGCCAATTTACCATTTCAACTTTGTTGATATATCCAAATTATTTTGTTACTCCCACCTACTCAGCCCCAAACAGTTTCTTTCGAAACTATCAGCCTTTATCCAATTGGTAACCACTGCTTCAAAACTTAGAGTGACAGCCCTGAATTTGTGTTATATAAATATATCTTATCGCTGAGTATTTTTACGAGTTGTGCAGAATTTTGATGAGCAGGTAGGGCAAGTCAAAATACAAACAACTAGGAACAATACTACGTGAAACCACAACAAAATGTTTGATAAGAGATTTATTGTCCAACAAACCAAATTGTTATTTCAGTGTGGGAAAATTTCACAGATATTTATTTACACTGACTGCATGACAGAAGTATGGGAAGTGGAACTATTTCTATTTTGTTCAACAAAAAATTAATGATGAAATTTCATTGTCATCTAAATGCTTTTCTTTGTTCGATTCATCTAAAAAACTTGGATCAATATTCGCCAGCCATTCCAACTCTTTGTCATCAGATAAATAATTTAAATGTTTTTAGTAACTTCAATCCAATTTCTCTCTAGTGGAATGCGAGAAAACCTATCTCACTGATTCTCTGGAGTATGAATTATTTGCACTCTGCAAAGCACAGATGGATAATAGTGCACTGAATTGTACACCCAGTTTGACAAGTCTTCAATGGATGACAGCTGCATACATGAAGTCATCATTAATAAGATTTTGCTTGACTTTAACATACAAAACAAAGAGATTCCATGCTGCCTGCATCTTTTCGGAGATGATAATGGAAGAAGCCTCATGTGTCACTTTTTGTTGTCACCATATTTTGACCTCATCTGTACACAGCAATATGAAATCTATTTGTTAAGCAGGTAATGATAATTTTCATGTGTATCTTTGATTTTTCTCAATGTGTGCTTTTTATTATTTTATCCTTTAGTCCGTAATCCAACTTCACAACAAAAATGTTTCCTAACTGGAACGGGTATCACAAGATATTCTTCATCCCATGACTACATTATCTGTGGAGCTGGATCTGCTGGTTGTGTTCTTGCCAATCGTTTGTCAGCCAATGGTGAAAACAAAGTTCTTCTTCTTGAAGCAGGACCAAAAGATTGGACGTGGAAGATCCACATGCCAGCCGCTCTTATTTATAACCTTTGTGACAATAGATACAATTGGTATTATGAAACAGAACCTCAAGAGTTTATGGATAATAGGTATCTACTGCAATCTAAATTTTCTTCATTTTAGTAAAACTGTAAACTATCTTTTTTGTAACAATTTTGTAAAACGTCTTACCCTTGCAGACGAATCTATCAACCCAGGGGGAGGGTATGGGGCGGATCCTCGTCTCTAAATGCAATGGTGTACATCAGAGGCCATGCTTATGATTATGATCGCTGGGAGAAGGAAGGTGCAGAGGGATGGTCGTATGCAGATTGTTTACCATACTTCAGGAAGTCTCAGAGTCATGAACTAGGTAAGCTGACAAAAGTCTAGTAAGGTAATGTTAGCCTTTTAATTCCCATGAGTGACTGAGTGACCAAGGCAAAATTTATTCCTACAATATCATGCAGACAAGTGATTGGGGTAACAAAAAATATCAATTAGGGGATTAGTTTATCCTATACCAAATTCTCAGAAGTAACATCATGAGATTTGTATAGCAGACAGTGAGGAGAATTGCTATTGAGATCTTGGGAGTGAATGGCTTGGTGGGTAGTCAATGCATTTCTCAAATGGAAGAGAATTTCACTTGGAAAGCCGCTTATTGGCAGTCAAGTCCCTGTGCTGTAGCTCTAACCATTGATCTGGCAAGGAAGAAATGGGGATGTTTCAAGATGCCTTTTCACATTCAGTTCACTGATACTGGAATGCTTACCATATTTCTTCAAATAGGTGCCTTTGTTCTGATAAGCACACTCCCCCAAATAAGTGCTTAGCCCCCTAGCCCATAATATCAAACCAGGGCAACCTCTGGAATCAGTACCTTCCCCTCTGTCTCCTCTGTTTCTTAAATAGTAGGGATACAAGGAAAACTTGTTCCTATTGTCATTTTCATCTACAACAGAATCAGTACAGGTTAATAGATATATCTTATTAACCAATACTAGGAGAATATCGGCTTGAGGTCTTGACAGTACGGCGAGGTCTGTACAAAAAAGAGCGAGGGCCAATATTCTTCCAGTACGGTCCCAAGCAAGCTTGGTTAACAAGAGATTTATTACACGACTAAAGTTCAAAGGGACACAAGTGCGGTATCATTCGGGACCATTCGGGACAGTGCCCGGTCCAATACTGAGAGAATATTGATTGGCTATAGAGCATTTTGATTGGTTGATTTTAGTTATTGGCTCTCTGACTGCCTGAGTCGTGTAATAATTTCTTATTAAGGTTTCTCCTTTGATTAAGCACTCTCCTTCCAGTAAGGGCCCCTTCTTTAACCAAAATTTTAAAGTATGGCTAGGGCACTCATTTAAGGAAGTACAATTATATTACTATTTTCAAAAGGCTTTGAAGGTATTTAAAGGAGACATGTCTCTTGTTGAATGTGATACTAAGTAAAGCTGTTGTAGTAATCACGTTGTTGAACAAGGTAACAATATTTGGATTTTCTTCTTTAGGTTCAGATGATTACAGAGGGGGTGATGGACCACTCAATGTATCACGCGGTAAATCAAACAACCCTTTGTACCAGGCATTTATTGATGCTGGTGTCCAAGCTGGTTATCCCTTCACAGACGACATGAATGGCTATCAACAGGAAGGATTTGGTTGGATGGACATGACAATTCATAAAGGAGTACGGTGGAATACAGCAAATGCCTACTTGAGGCCTGCACTGAGACGTAAAAACCTTCGCACAGAGACAAGAACACTGATAACTAGATTGGTATTTGAAAAGAATCGTGCATCAGGTGTTGTCTACCACAAGGGCAGTCAAGTGAAATGTGCCCAGGCCAGAAAGGGAGTTATCCTGACTTCTGGTGCAGTTAATACACCACAGATCCTAAATCTGTCAGGTATAGGAAATGCAGATGATCTGAAGAAGCTTGGTATTCCTGTGAATGTTCACCTTCCTGGTGTGGGGCAAAACTTTCAAGATCATTTGGAGATGTATTTCCACCAGGTTTGTAAATTATTCTGCACCTCCCTACATTTGGAAGGTAGACTATAGGTAGTGTGGAACAATGGGTGAAGACCTACCATACTTATTCAATCATGTGCCCAACCTTGAGTAAGTGTCTGCCTCAGCCTGTAGGTAGAAAATTTTAATGAGCCTTAGGCCTCCAACAGAAGCAAGGTAACAATATTTTTCTTTAGGCTAATTGATTAAATTTTCTTTTATGAAAGATTTGAAATGCTAGGCAACCCAGATGACCTGGGACAACAGCTCTCAGACATCCAGTGACACTTACTACTAAGAGGAAAGCTTTGCTGTGGAATCTAATATAAATTTTGTTTCTCTACTATAATCTTGTTTCAGGAATGTACTCAACCTTTAAGTTTGTATCGCTCTCTCAAGTGGTGGAACATGGTTCCAATAGGTGTCAGGTGGTTCCTCACTCGTACTGGCCCTTGTGCCACTGCACATCTGGAAGCTGGGGGCTTCATTCGCAGTAGAGAGGGAATGTCGCATCCCAACATCCAGTACCACTTTCTACCCTCCGCATTTAAAGATCATGGTAGAGTGACAGTAGAGAAAGAAGCTTTTCAAGTAAGTGACAGAATGAAATTCTGCCACCATGTTTTCTCGGTAACACAAACTTTTTGATAGATGCTGCATGAAAGAAGTAAAGCGTCTGTTACTTTTTATTTTCAATTTTGAATATTTCCTTCATGTTTTTTTTTTTTATTATTATTATTTCTTTTCAAGGTACATGTAGGCTCTATGAGGGCAACAAGTCGTGGGTATGTGAAGCTTAAGTCATCCAGTCCATATGACCATCCCATCATTCAACCCAACTACCTGTCTACTGAAGAAGATCGAGTGGAATTAAGAGATAGTATTAGACTCACGCGTGAGATATTTAACCAAAAAGCTTTTGATCCATTTCGTGGGGAAGAACTACAGCCAGGTACAGTACAAAAAAATTTAAAACACTTATCAACTGGGGAAACCTTATTATCTATCACCATATGTATTATTTTACAGAGTACCTATGGTACATATTGGACCTGTGCTGCAAGAAATTGATATTTTAGTGTTCACCTTTAAGGTGGCAATGTCCAAACTGACGAAGAAATCGATGCCTGGGTACGACAAAATGCCGACACTGCCTATCACCCATCATGCACCTGTAAGATGGGTTCCGAAGATGACCCAATGGCTGTCGTCAACAACAAAACAGAAGTGTTTGGAGTGGAGAATTTGAGAGTTGTTGATGCATCAATCATGCCAAGTATTGTCAGTGGAAATCTTAATGGACCAACTGTCATGATAGCAGAGAAGGCAGCTGACATCATCCTGGGAAATCCTTCGTTACCTAAATCAGATGCACCAGTTTACAAGACACCAGAAATAGGCCAGAGATAATAAATGTTATTCACTGGTGTTATAAATACAGTTAAGCATCCAAACGTGATTTCAACCTGTCTGTGTAAGATGTATCACAAGTTAAGATGATTGCCACCAAGTTTGAGTTGAATCAGGCAAGGTTCCAGACTGAAAAAAATGGCACTCGATTATTTTTTGAAAAATGAAAAAAAGTATACTTTCAGTAATTATTTATTTGAAGTCACACCTGTTGTCACTTTATGTTCAAAGAAGCTTGGCAGCCTTGTGGTGACATCAATAATTACAGTAAGTTAACACTTAGTTCTTATTAACCCAGCGGGAGGTCTGTATGGGAGAATCTTGACCGAGGTTGCCAGTACAGACCGAATGCAGTGAGGTCTGTGCCAGCGACCGAGGTCAAGATTCTCCCATACAGACCAACCTGGCTTGGTTAATAAGTTGTTTATTTTATGGCTGTGTCTTATATGCCGATTTTTTATATTCTTTGTATCGTTTTTTTCTAGACCGGTCTAGATGCTGGTCTAGATGGGAAAATCTAGTCCGCTTTCGATATTGATTTCAGCCAATCAAATTTGTGAATTTAGTAGTTCCCAGTCCTTGTGAGACACACCCATATAATAATACAGTATAATCAGTCGGTGGCAAGGGGGGTGGGGGGGAGGTGGGATGGCACTGAAAATTTGATTCTTTGCCAGAGATAATTTACTCACATTGGGGTACTTCAACAATTCCATATTTCACAATTATTTTCAAGTGCATGGAAAATGCTGTTTGTTATTTCCAGGTGATTGTTTTACCGAGGTTTTGAAATTATAGGATGGTTTGAGATTGGGAAAGGGAGTTGGAACTCCAAAGTTTTTTTGAAACATGCACCTTGTACATGCAACAGTGACCTGCCATTGTAATATTTCTTTATGGAACAATATTGTTCATCTTCTTGTTCTTTAAAGACTTCGGTAAGTTGCAAAATCAGTTCATAATTAATTTATTATTCCTGCTACATATTAAATTGTCCTGGAAGTTGAAGCATGTTTACTGGACCTCCTCATCAAAAGTACTGTTTTGGGTTCAAGTGTATGTTCTTCTTAACTTAAGTAATTTTCAGGCAGTTGTCTCCACAACTACTCACAGAGAAAAATGGAATAAAGGTTGAATACTTCAAAGGCTTTCCTACTACACATCCGATCCTCAGAATATAGTTTGGTATCTAACTGGCAATGTTAAGTACAAACCTTGTTGCTCACACTTGCAAAAAATTGGGTGGCTAGCATAGCTTCAAGATATGAGTGATGTAGATCTTTTTGTTGGAAGCTGTAGTCTTTTTACAGCCATGATGTACATGTGTCATTTTGTTAATTCTTTGTGAGGCCAAACACTTACTGCTGCCTTGAGTGAAATGGGGCTCTTATTAACCAGTCTTTTCCTCCCTTCTCTCCATCCCTGAACCCCAGTTTGCCAGTGAAATGAGTTGAAAGGATTCAATCTTGAATTTGATCCAAATGATTATTAATAAAATGAACTCTACAGTAGAGTTCCCTGCCTTGCATGAAATCTGATGAAACCTAATGGCTTCAGCTATAACCTTTTGGTTGCTTATTTTCCCTCTACTTTAGAACTGATCGACAGCCTTGTTAATTCCCAATATCAAATTAGTAGTTCTCCTATTTGACTCCCACTTATTCCCTTTTAAATTGGACAGAAGAATTTGGTCTTCCATCAAAATAAAATCCTGTTGCTGGTAAGCTTGTCTGGTTTCATAACCCTCTTGTAAGACAACACTCAAAATCTCAAAGAGAAGTTAGAATTTTAAAACTTCTGACGGAGGTATGATAAGGGTGCAATAGCAGCCACACCAGAACTCAACAGAAACAAAAATGCAGTCAAGCTGCTGAAATAAATGATAGAAATAAATATTTATTACTCAAAACTGTACAAGGTAAATTTAAATTAGTAGGTACTTGACTGGGCTAAACAATCAAGCTATTATTTGAAACAATGCTTTGAAAGCAATTGTATTGCAACCCTACAAAAATCTACAATGGAAATTAATACCACTTCAACTCCCTTCTAAAAGAAGATTGAGTAAGTTTTGTTAAACAAAAACACAATTTGCTCTAATATTTTAATAAATATGGTAAACTGATTTGAAATTTGACAATGTTTATAATGTTAAAAAGATTCTGTTTACTCAAGAGTGTAGTCACAACATTTCACACTAAAATGAAGGCTTTTTTCCCTTACATTACAAAATCTCATTCTTTTACAAACAAATAAACATTTCGGGTACAAAACTTTGGTAGCTATTCATAGTAATGTGTACATGTCATTATAAAATGCTGTAAGTGATGATGATAACTTTTGTGTGTATGTTAATACAAAAACTTAGATCAGTGTTAAATGGCAGGATTCCCCTATTGTTCAACTAGTGAGTTACACATCCCCTTTCCCTCCATGAAAATAGATACTCTGAAAATAGTGACCAAATTAAAAGTTTTCAGAATATCAAATAAAAGTTTGACATGATTTGCCTTTAACTAGCAAACAACTAAGAAAAGAGAGTTTTCAGATAGGTCATTTGATTTCCAACATACTAAACTCTCAAGGGCAGAACCTCATTATTCTGTAAATATATGAATGAAATATATGAAAGTGCTCTGCATTTAATTTCATGTTGGTAACAATTAATTTTTTTGTAACAAACAACTTTGTGGGGTGACACCTTCAAAAATAGCACCATCCCATGGCATTGTTAGAAAAAGGCTCGTCATTATGAAAGTAATGTGGGTTGTAACTTTCTAGACATTGTATGCATACATGTACATGCTACAAATCTCCATTTTGCTTCAGTTTAAATATTGCATGGACTGAAGGTGATTTCCTTAGGTCTTTACCATCACTTCGTAACATTTCTTCACTCCGCTAGTGATGTTCACTAGCATTGAATGGCCCTGAGGCATCTTTCACATCCAGGATCAGTTGTTTAATCTGATTTTCCTCTGCGGTTTTCTCATCCAGTTCTGGAGCTGAAACATCCCCAATAATTGTTAATTACTCAAATTCAAGCCAGAAAATTCACCACCTCTTAAGGTCAAATTACATCTACCAAAAAACTCTAGGAAAATTAACAGTTTACTCACATGTTAGATTGAAGTTCTCAGAATTGAACACTGGATTTGCAGTAAGTGTATTAGGTGTGACAATTACAACTTCTCCATCTTTGTTAAATCCAAAACCATGCTTGTCATCCCAAATAAAACAGTTTTCCAAACCTTGAAACAATATTAAAAACAAGCACTACAGTTATTGGCAAGGAAAGAATCAAACGTAATTTTAACCTTATGTGTAATCATCACTGCATTTTAAAATTTGTATTGGCGAGGTCCAAATTCAAAGTGTATTTATTTGGAAAATTATGAAAAAAAAGTAATCACTTGAAGCTCTACAGAAATGCCAAGATTCAGGTAATTACAAATAGGCATTTTTTTTCCTCCCTAAATTTCTATTGGAACTCCATTGCTGCAGTAGGTTTCTAGGCCTTCCCTGTGTATCTGACAGTAATACTTTCTTTATCGATCTTACCAATATTTTTTAAACATGACATAACTAACAGTATTTCATTTGGTTCCTTTTAAGCTTAAGGATTACTAACCTTACATTAAGTAAAAATCTCTATCATTAGCAACAAAATTTTCCAATTTTTTTCTACCTGTGAATTCATTTTGAGTTCTGCCGGCATTTGACAAAAGCGGTGCTGATCTGAAATGCCTCACAGCATATTGCCTTGCCACGGTTAACATTACTTGATGACCTCTTTGTAACATTGCCATGTTGATTGTGGAGGTTTGACTGTTTTTGTTGCAAGGTGATTCCCTAGGAAGATTTGAGAAAGTGAACCATGAGTTTCCTACAGCTGAAAAGCAGGTGAGTGTTTGGATTATCATTTGATGAATTAAATTAGTCCTAATCATTGGCCAAGAACCCAATACCTGACCTGCATATAACTTTCTAGAATAATGGTTTTATTAACCATGTGTAATGCATCTGATGCAGTTTAACTATGTTCTGAAGCAAATAATAATCCAATTGGGCAGTCTTGTCTATGCTTTTCATGGAAAGGGGCAGATTGCTTCTCTAAGTATGGGGCAGTGATTTCAGTTACATTTAAGAAAAAGAAACCTGTTAATTGTATTATAAAATAGTTACCTACAGTTGGTTCTCACTAATGCCTCCTATGGCCCAATTATTTGAATTTTAGCCTTTACATGTACCACTGAAAATAATTGGTCCACCCACCAATGATAAATCAAAGTCAATTTGATTACTTTCTGCTAGTTCGAGAGATTATTTCACTGTTTGTTTGCATAGGATCAGTAAAAGCCTGAGTGTAGGAGCAGTGAGCAGTCATTTGTTTGTCTCTGTTAGCTCTGAACTCCTTCAGTGATGTATTCCATTTTCAAATATAGATAGAGAGGGTTTTCACTTTAAGTGCCTCTTAAAAGGGAAACATTTTTCAGACCTTTGATTCAAGGAGCATAACAGGAAGGTAAGGAATATACAGAGAAGTTCTGGGTATTTAAACCGGGTAAATTACCCTTGCACTTAGAATTTAAAACATTGATATTCATTCCAAGGTGTTTTCTCTTTTTTCGTTCCAATATTATTGTCAACGACATCATCTCAGAAATTGAATATTCATCAGGGACTTACGTTGTTGTTAACTAGGTAGTCCTAAACAATAGAAATCCTTGAGTCATATACGCAAAACGAAAACAAAATATATGAACTTCATATATACATTGTATCAGAAAACCTCGCGTTACCAACACAAAACGAAGACAATCTTGAAGCATGAAGTAAAGAAGATGTAATTAATGTTACAAGTTCATCTTTCACAGAATAATCAGACCATAAGATGTGAAAGCATCGGTTTCGAAAATCCGTGAGGGATCTGCATTTTTTTTTTCTACCCCATAAATGAGTGAAATGAGCGACATTTTTTAGTCGACGACGAAATTTAAACAAAGCAGCGTTTATTATGCTTTGTAAGACCATGTGCACCGCTAACACATGATATAACGAAATCACAAGACTGTCAACTAGTGATATATTTTTATGCTAAATTGGTAAAGACCGGTAAACCTGCAACCTGTACCCAACTACATGTTTAATTAAGTCGAAAAAAATTGTTGTTCCTTTCACTCACTCATGGGACAGAAAAAAATATTCAGATTCCCCACGATTTTTCGAAACCGATACTTTCGTATTTGGTTACTGTGTGAAAGATGAACTTTTAACCTTAATTACAAATTCTTTACTTCAAGTAAAAGATTTTCATCGTTTTGTAAAGCTGATTCGAGGTTTTCTGTTGTTTCCGACTTCCTTATTTCTAACTCATTTTTGGTCTTCCACCTAGGCTTTTATCATTTCTATTCCGAAAAACGGAGTGTGTGGATGCACATCGATATGTCTTAAGGCCTTCAAAGCAGTGGCAAGATTCACGCGCCTAACGACCACGCACGATTAATTGCTTACGAACATGAAAGCAATACTCAAAGAAGAGTACGATTTTATGCGAAAAAACTTAGCAGACTATCAGAAATGATCCTGGGTTAAGTTATAGCAAAATGGCGCAGTATCGAGCGCCACAAACAGACCATCAAAATAAAAAATGTGGTGTAAGCACGTTCCTGACTAGATCTCCAAAACGCTTACAACGTGCGACTCAAAGCATTTTACAAGTAATTCCTTACCTTAACAGTGAAAGATGCGTTTAAGTCACTGACAGTGAAAGTCAGATTTCACCCTTACTTCAGTCTGGTGCAATAAAATTGAGCGATCCCTCCAACGTTTAGGCAGGAAGGAAATCCTTAGAATGAATTCTGCTTACGCGGAAACTTTTTTTAGGCGCCCGTTCAAAACAAGGTCATGTGGTCATATAAGCATGAGCACTGCTTACTATGGGGGGACTGTGTGTGGCTGTTATTGAATAGTGAGTCATAAAAATGATCCAGAAATTATTATGATATAGCTGTATAAAAGAAAATAACCTTACTTTATGCGATGGTTTGACATAAAAAAAAAAAACTGTTCAAAAACTCCACACCGGAATTTAGTAAAGAAGTGTTGTATTTGATTCCCAACCCTACACCCTATAGGTTGAAGTCGCGTCAAACAGGGAAAACTCGTTTGGGAACTTCAACACAAGAAGGGGCAAGTTCTAATTTCTCGAGCGGGAAAGATGAGTCAAAACCGCATATCACTATCGCCATTCTCGCAAGCAAAGCCTCAAAAAGAGAAAAGCATCTCATAAAATAAGATGCTTTTCCGTTAAGAAATTGGCATAACTTCTAAGGGAGACTCTGTCCATTCTTAGCTCTTCAAGACACCGCAAGCAAATATTACTTTTCACTATTGTAATTTAATCCATATCTCGCGAGGATTCTTCTGACATATTCGTGCCTAATCTATACACTTCGACTTTTAAGACATCATACGCTAACCATGAAACATTAAGAAATTTTTAACCGAGAATCTCTTGGAGTTATTCTCTTGTTTCCGCAACGTTTCATGGATGGAGGATTTTTTAAGCAAGATTACCTTTCAGGCACTTTGTACATACAGGGATGGAGTTGCTTAAACACAGCGACCCTTTAATTTGTCTTGAAGGCAGTCTTAACAGAGAAAATCACGAACAAACTTGGGAATTTATCTAGCAATTCTTCTGCTTCATTATGTCTCGCACCAGCTTGATTAGTCAAGCCAGTTCGGCCGCATTGTGTTGATGGCAAAATAATATTTAACCAATATCCAGCCAGCTTAACGAGGGGGGAGAAGAGTACACCGACTCATACCTAGGATCCTAACCCGACTAACATGTGGACATCCACTTAGAGTGAGACAAAATACGGAACATCGAACATTATGGCATCTAATCTAACGGTTGTAAGAGGGCGCTACAATATATCTAGACTCGACCACGATAAAGGCCGCTGAGGTAGCTTTCACCCAAGGGAAGGTTGTGTTACTGAAGTAATTTACACTGGAAAATGTTGTACCAACGAAGCAAAGTGTCTCCACAGTTTTTCCTCTGATTGTGACATTCAAAGTGTGTTTCATAGCTCACTCAGATGTTGATCATCGTGCCGATCATATCGACCTGAATTTGTTTATTATTCCCTTTAGAATTTCACAAATTGGTCATTCTACGGTATAGACTATTTCTTTGTCCCTTGAACTATTTACTATTTTCTAGAGTCATCGTGAACTTTCGTCACCATCTATGAGACCCATTTCAGGGCCGAATCTAAGGGAAGGGCGCAGGGGGTGCGTACCCCCTCCCTTAATATCACCTGCGGCTATCTAATAGAAGGTTGTACAAAGTCTTTTGTATTGTTTGCCGTGTATTATTGGCAATTCACATTATGCTAATGCATTGTCATGAGTCTTCTTCGTTGCTTGCTTTTAAAAAGTGCCAACCTCACCCGTCAGTTTCGTGATTTTTTAGAGGTGCACCCCCCCACTAAGAAAAAAAATCCTGGATCCGACCCTGTTTTTATTTCTTAAATCTATTTCAGTTTACGAGGTTATTTACGGTTACAGAAGTGGATAAATGAATAAATAGATACCTAAATGGGTAACGAGCTATTAAAGAAATGGAAGATGAATGCACAGAAAGGTTGGTTGCCTTATCACATAAGGCCCATCGGTAACTCTTGGAGGATTATTCTTATCAAATGATAACGATATCATTTTGACCCATCGGAAACCCAAGATCATCACCCTTAGCCTTCCATCTACATGTGATCGCCTCTCTCCTTGATGCAGTGTGCAAAGGCATCTCAGCAAACATCATTATCAGCAGAGCTCTACAACAATCAGAGTTTACAAAAGCTAAGTGGCTATCGCACAGTACAGACGCGTGGTCGAAAAATAATTTTCAAGTAAAAGTTATTAAATTGAGACTTGGGCGACGCGACCTTTTAATAAAATAATTTACAAAGTAGTACAGAAGTTCATTTCCTCATAAAGACTCAATTTTTTTCATTTTTCCCATGCTCTATATGAGGCGAAAAGAGATCTTTCTTCCCCAGAATTTGCAATCTTTCTTATGTTCTTGGAAATGTCTGCTTGGAGTCTACGAAAACATACAACAGTAGTCCAAGATTTGTATTTCTTACCTAGTTCTTGAGCAGCTACGTAAATGGCTGGTCTCTGATATTGTGAACTGCTATCTACTCCGTCATTCGTTGGATCGCCCCTCTCCAAGTTTGTTTGATTCGCATGGCATGGGAGCCGAAACAGCCGCTTCAGGTGGTTTCTGAAGCGCTCATTTACAAACACGTAAACGAAGGGATTAACACACGAGTTGAGGGTGACAATTACAATGCCGACGATATAGACAATGTTGCCATACTTCTGTGAATCGTGAAAGTAGTTCAACATGTAGATAATAAGGACCGGAAACCACGTGATGCTGTATACCAAGCTCACCTGAAATCAAAGCAAAAATAGGTCTGCACATGCGTACTTGTGTGGTTTACGCGCGAATTGTCAACCGGAAACAGAAAAAGAGTTACCGCTTTTTCTTTCTGCTTTTGCTAATTTTAAGTTCCTCCAACAAACTCCTCCAAGTAGACTATGTCGTAAGCGCTAGACTCTTGTTTGTTTTTTTTGTTTTTTTTTTTTTGTACAGTACTAGTTATACACGCATTTCGATCTATCTTGTTTATATATTATTAAGTATATACAAAATACTCTATGTTGTTCACTTTGCTATTTTGTCGTCTCATATTCTACCTTGGATATATAGGACTAAATAAGAAGTGTTGGTTCCATTCTATTTTTCCGTTTATAATAGACCTCTGCATTTATTTTATGAAATATGTTGTATTTATTCGTTATAAGTCTCGGAGAGGAATGTACCAGAGACCTACAGATTATCTTTTGGCAGCACTCAATCACGGATATGTCGTATTCATTTTTGACGAAAATCAATGTGACTCACCGTGATCACCATTTTTGTTACGCGTTTGCGTGACTTTAGAACCGCTGCTTGCGTGACGCGAGAACCTTGTGCTTTTTTGAACCAAAGCCGCTTAACGACCCGTGTGTAAAGCCCGGTCATGAGAGCAATGGGCAACGCGCCGAAAAGAATCAACCAGGAGGTGCTGTAAACACGAGCCATCCACATAGCTGGCCAATACTCGGTGCAGAAGTCAATCCCCGGATTATACTGCATTGTGAAAAACAACGGCAGGTTGAACGCTACAGCGAGAACCCAACAGCCTACTATGACATATTTAACCTTCTTCATCGTTAGCTTGCCGCGGCTACCGTAGGGGTGGACGACGGCAAAGTAACGCTCAACAGAGATGGCTACCAGGGAATACACAGACGCCGAGCCGCCCAACCAACTGAAATTGCTGCCAGTGAACAGTTTGCATATAAGCGTTCCCACCAGACCGTCTGGGTGATCGAACGCGTGAATGAAAATGAAGCGTGGAGCCACGAAAGACACCACCATGATATCTGCTACCGCCAGGTTAAGTATGAGATAATTCATGGGTGTTCTCATGGATCGGTTAGCGAGGATCACAACGCAGGCCAAAATGTTACCAATCACACTGATTAGCACTAGTATGGAGAACACAGTGGTAATAGCGATCTGAGCAGACAATGACTGCGTGTAAAACGTCATGATCGGTCCCTTCCAAGCGTGCAATCTAGAACGAGAGCAAGCATGAAGTGGATAAAAAAAACCGTCTGTTTTTCCTTTGGAGGTCCGAGATAAGTGAGCAATATTCTTTTCTTTTCCTTTTTGGAGGGTTGAAAATACTGTTTAGCTAGATTTATTTATTCCTCCTTATCTTTTTTTGAATGAGAACAAAGGAGATGTGAGGTGGTGCAAAAATGTTCGCGCGTGATCTGGGGCGATAAATCGTATGGCTCCCAATTAAAGTCACCTTCTACTTAGACTCGAGACTTAATTAAAATTATACCACTTGCGCAGCTGCAGGTTTTTAACGCAAAATTAATGATCAACATCAATTGAAGATGAGCTCTTGTTCCTTCTCAAGATTATCGAGGAGTAATGACAGTCAAACACATTGTTTCCGAAAATTTCATATCCATGAATAGAATAGCCCCATGCTCTTGATTGTCTTTTGTAATTTTTTTTTTTTATTTCGTACTGGAAATATTTTAAGCTAACGATTTAAAGAGAAGAAAGAAAAACACGCACAGCCCAATATCGGAAGCTCTCGTAGACATAGAAAGCGGTTGTCTTTGAAACTTACAAGGCCTGGACATTTGCTCAAAGCATTCACAACGAAAATTTTTTTTTTTTTTTTTTTTAAGAAAATAAAGGAACAGGGAAAGAGGAAAAAACCATTTTTTTAAAGGGAAAAAAAGAAACAGGGAAAGAGGAAAGTTTTTTTTAAGGCGAGCATGTTCGTTATTAAATAAGTTTTTTTGTTTTGTTCTATAACTATTTTGTTTTGATTTGATTTTTTCTTTTTTGTCAGCTGTGTTTTTTGTATTATGTTTTTTTTTTTGCTAATTTCCCTCATTTTCTTTCTCTATTCCATGTGGCCGAGTGGTCAGCGTGTCGGATTTGCAATCCGCCGCTCCCGGGTTCGAGTCCCGCCCTGACCACTACCTGGTTTTGTTTCACGGTAGCTCCGAGTTTAAATCCTCGGCCATGCTTGTAAATAGCCAACTGGTTTGCCTTAGGCCAGATGGGATTCTTAATAATGTTATTTTCAATTTGAATTATTTGTTTCAGTTTTTTGGAGGAAAACCTGTTAACTAGCATTAAGCTAAGTGTTTCTCCACGTTAAATAATGATTATTATTATTATTTATTCCAAACTAAAAGACCTACACAGAACAAGAGCCCTCCAGACCCCTTCCTTTCCCCCCCCCCAACCTCGTTCCTAGGGCCTTTTCTCTCCCCCCAAGCTGAAGAGAAACTCATTTCGGCTTTGTGCGAGACCTGGGCTTACCACGGGATTTAATGGCTTCAGCAGAAGATATCACCGAAATACAATGGCAAGAAATTAAGTTGGCAGAAAGATTGGATGATAAACTCATCCAAGTTTATATTTTTGTAGTGTTTGGATACACGAGAGTAACCACGATCGTGGACCGCTTTAACCTCTACCAAGAAAAGTCAATTTCTCATTATTTTCTCTCGCCACAACTGAGAAATTGTGATAGGATAACTGCTAGAATATGTATGTAATAATAATTTTAAAAAAATAATAGTTGATTTTCGTTTCATGCCTTCTTTGCCAGTCGGGTTAGAATTTTTACTTAATTAAGGCAAAACAACAGGACCTATATAAACCTGTATCAATTAAAGTATCAATACAATAGATAAAACTAGTGATTGCTCTTGACGATACAAAAAAAAGGCTGGAGACAGAGATCATGCAAATAGAATTTTCACTGTAAAATTTTTTCATTAAAATGTAATCAGTGATCAATACAGTGTATAATGTGAAACAGATAGCGTCCTGGTACAATTTGTGTAGTTTTTTTTTATTCCTCCTCATTTCTATTTTGGTTATCATTACGAATGGATTCATTAACCCAAAGGCGTATATCTCAGATCTCATTTGATTTCGAGTGGAGGGAACTATAAATTATGCAAAATGTATCATTAAAAGATTACAGAAGAGAAAACCTACCACGAAAGAGGGAATTTATACATTCAGTTTCTGATTTTTTTTATAATCATCGTTTCTGATTGTTTTCCTCCGACACCCTCCAATATGCGTTAAGGGTTCATGCCTTCTTAAAAAAAAAACCTTCTTAAGTTCATAAGTTTTCCCAGTGAATCTACTAAATAGATATTTTTATTCTCTAAAAGTGAAATTAAAACATAATCTCTCCTTCCTCGTCAGGTAAAATAAGTAGAAATAAAACAGAAATGATAAAAATGAACAGAAATGATGTTCAACTGCAATAAAATGCTTTAATAGATCAGGCTCCTTAATCCTTCACAACCAAAACCTAAGATTTTTGCTGAAAATCGCAAAGAAGAAGCTTTTTCGAAAACAGACTCCGTTCTTTTCGTTAGTAAAAGGGAAAGAACAAAACAAAACAACTCACCGTACTTGAGGTCAACTAGTGAGGAGAAGCGCACTCTCTTCCTCACTGAGAAGCTTAGCCGATGTTCTCCGCGGTGGAATAATTTTAAACAACATTTGCTACATAATAAACATCGTTTTCAGTATGTTGCTAGCCTTTGAAAAGCCTAAGAAGCGCCTCTCCATTCAAAGTTAATTTAACAATCGTTGTCTCATCAGTAATGACTTTTCGGACATGAATACAATACTGAACTCCCATTAAGGATTCAGCAAAGCAGTTATGACGTGGGTGAATCAATAAAAGAATAATTATGTCAAATCCTTTACAATTTCCTACATATTTTGCCTTAGCTTTCTGTTAACTCCTGCCTGGATTTCTGTCTCTCCCATACGACATTATCGATAGCAGGTTTCAGCTCGACCAATAAGAACTTTGTTGTTTGTTCCATCACGTAGATATTTGGTCCGCGTGAAAGGAAAATAAGTATACTTGTCTTCTTTTCTGAGCAGTCATAAATTTCAAAAGTCGCATAGTCTTCCGTCCTTGTCAACGCGATGAACCTTTTTCTTCACTTCAAAGACGTATACAGGAGGACAATTTCCAACATATTAGAAAGTACCTAATTAATCAGCAAAAGTATATGACGAATCTCTTAAGAGCCTTCTGAATCTCCTAGAATTAGTTTCGGAACTTCTGTTGAAAAAAAAAGAGCCTTTTCATTGGAGAGACTCATTAAGTTGACAAAAGGAAATAAAAATTTTACATATGGAAACACAGGACCCAATTTATTATTGCAGGGAGCATCAATATCGCTGGGAACAACACTGGAGTAAGTGATCCAGAGACATAATAAGCAAATGATATGATATGTTTTACCATTGAATTTAATTTTTATTCTTTTTTTATGATCCAAGATAAAATTTATAAGAAATCACCACAAAGAGGGTATTTATGTTCTAGGGGATGGAAGGAGTGAGGGACGAGACAAATTTTGCAAAAGCCCAAATTTTTTTGTCCATGCTCTATCGTAACAAAACGCTATAAGGCCAGAGTTCTCGTGAAAAATTTTGTTCGATTTTGCGTAACTAAAGCTATTTTAAATCTATCATTTCATAGCAAATTCTTTCTTAGTAAACACTTAAAGCAAATGTGGGCTGACCCTAATTTGTGACCAACTTTGACAATAAAACAGTTTGTACAAACACGATTGTTTAATCATCGTCAGTCTGTTCGAGTCACCTCTTTCATTTTGAAATGGCTATTTTCACGCATTATTCCAAAAAACGGTTTGAAATGGCAGGATTCGATACATTGACTAGACTGGAACATTCATTTAGGCAAAGTCAATGAAGATGACCGAGATAACTTATCCTTATGAGCTGGAAGCTCCCCGCTCTCCGTCTTTACAAAGCAACTTGAAAACGTAACGCGATCACCACATTATTTGGAATGAAAAAAGAGTTAATTGATCGCGATTCTGTATCACTTATTTTTTGCGCCGTGGAGCGGGACGAGGGCGCTACATAACATTTTGTGACGGGGAAAAAGTAGCGCGTGAATTGAAAAAATAGATAAATGAATGAATAAATCAACTTGTGAAATAACAGTGATTCGTGGAAAAGATATTGCTCGTTTGGACGAATTGACCGTTTCAGCCGGCTGCTGCACTAGTTCAAAGAACCGCAAAGTGTGAGAAAGTCTTGAAACAATACCTCATGAATCTTAGCTGATCTTCCGATATGTCTTGGTTATTCAAATAAACTGACATATCTGATTTGACAACTGTACATCTATCGTTGGGACTATTGCTTTTACAGCTTTGAAGGCCTTTTCTTTCCTCTTCGTTTGTGAGGTATGGAAATATATTACACGATTTCGTTTATCGTTACTTGGCCTTCCTTCCCTCATCAAAATTCAGTTCCTTCTTTAAGTGAACTGTCACTCGACCCTACGGAACTAAAACAACTGCAAACGAAAGTGAAATGTTTTCATTAACGAATAATTGTGCTCTAATTCATCGCTGTCCCCACGTATGCCTGTTTTTGCTACCTATAACATCTATGGAGTCCTCCAACAGCCGGTAATCTTTTATTGAAACATGTAATCTTCATGACTCTCTGGTGATCTTCAATGAAAAGAACATCTTGCACTGTAGAGGAATGACGAGGGAGGGGGGGGGAGGGGTGAATGGCGTAAGTGGTGGTAAAAAAAAAAACCTGCAGGTAAAAAAATTTTCATCAAATTTTCGTATTTTGGTTTTTCTTTTTTACACCAATCCAGCCCTCACTATCTTTCCTCATTCGTTTCACTTACCCACCCTCTCTCCTTCCCCACCATTCCCCCCGGATCCAGGGCTCCGGCCCCCTGTTCCCTTCAACTGCCCCTCGTAATTAAAAAAATGCAAGTATTGAAGCATTCACTTAATTCTAAAAACATGGATAAATGTTAATTATTTTCAAGAATCTGACACAAAATGATCGATAATCGAGATCATCTATGACCGCGAAGCATGAAATCAGTCAGCATTTAGCATCTTTACAGTGTGGTGGGAATTATTTTAAGAGATACGCGCTGAACGCAAACTTCACGACATTCTCTTTATCAGCCTTCCCACACTTGGTTTGTAAATGTTCTCTTAATTAACAGCTGTTTGTTCTTCAGCACACTCCCGCTAAAATCACGAATTCTGATTACGTACGTATACGGAACTTTCGCACGCATCGCACACCGCGTGCACGTTACTTAAATCTTGTTTAAATCTCGGTCAAAAAATCTTTTCATTCGTCCTCATTTGCGAAGCTCAAGCGTAAAAATTAAAAAAGATAAGTATAGTTTAGTCGATCACACTTACGTAATGAGAGAATGAATTTATATCTTTCCCTCAAAAAATGTACGTTTTCATGATCGACTACTTTTAACTAAGGATATTGTCAAATTGACCCTTCCTTAAAGATATATCAGAACGATGTAAATTCAAGATTGGATTCCTAAAAATATGTATCTTCCAGCTTGTGCAGTTTCCTTTCTCCAGGTGACGATCACTAAACCACGAACAGTAGCTTCTCCGGGAGGCCTATTCTTAAGACTTTTATTTCTTTCAGTACATTATCGCGCAAGTAACTGATCTTTTTGCGCAACTCCAACTTTTAACAGAGAAGACAGTTTATGATGTAAGTACTAATAGGTGACGTGTTTCCCCAGTGCAGCCATCATGGTTACCGTTTTCCAAATAGCGTGGGGGATACTCAAATTTTTCGTCTTCCCACGTTTTTGAAGATTATTTTAAGCCTACCTTCTGGTGACCGAGCACAAAATGTTCCATTTTTCATACGCTCCACAGACCACCTTTTACATTGCTGTCCCTAGCAGCGTACCGGATGCTTGTCACAAAAGAATCCAGTATACACAAACAAGTTCTTTGAAGTTCATTTGATAGACATGCAACCTCGACATCGAATCCTCTCATGCGACTTTGATTTCTATTCACCCTTCGTTTGTGACAAACGTTCAGCATCCTTGTATAGACATAAGAATTAACTATAATTTCTGATAAGCCTAACTGAAAATATTTAGGAAATCGGCCTAGCCTTCTCAAATGAGCACAGAATTTTGAACTTTGTTGATGGGAATCTCTGATCATTTTTTACCGGCGAATAAAATAATATCTTGTAAAAAAGGACGAAAAAAAGGTTGCATCGGTGAAATATTAATGAACACAAGTTTCTGAGGATTGTTAAAAACAGCTTTGGCTCATCAAAAGCCCAAGTTTTTACAGATCTATTGAAGTTCTCAGTTCTGGGGGGAAAAAAGCTACACGATTAGTAAATGATTTTATCACGGAAATTTTCATCGTAAAATAGCCTTGCTCTTGTAATCAGAGCACATTTTTCACCCAAAATCTTTAAGACAAAATACGAAATGGAATAACTTAGATAAGAAAAAAGCATTATTGCGGTCACCAGGAAAGTAAAATTTTTTGATCGAAAGGAATGGCTCGCTTGTCGAAATACTGAGCTGTGTTAATGTTAATTCCGCAGACAATCATTCTGTACTTCAGAGCCATTAAATGTAGTTTCTTCAGATAGCTATTAGTTACTCCGGAGAAGACATGTGTTTGGTGTATTATAAACAAAGGGTATTTTACAAATTATCAACGCATACGCACTCATCCCAGACCGCAACATCTCTGGAGGCGCCAGAAAATGCAAGCAAGCAGTTTATTTATTAATAAAGGGAAAAAACCGTGAGTTTGATATCACTCGCGTTGGCTTTTCGTGCTACTGAGGAGGAATCGCTCAGGTGCAAAGCTCTAGTGGGAAATATAAAGAGTGTGATTAATCTCTTTGAACTAGAACAATTAAGAGGAGTACTGGAACTGTTCGAAAAATGAAAAGCGAGTTTGTAACGGTTTTGTTTTTTGTAATATTCGCTTCTTGTCATATCTCTGCCTTTGACGTGGTAGATGGAAAGAATTTTGATTTCCAAATGAAAGGAAAACTGGGTAAAGAAAACGACAATAGTATCGAGGATAGAGAGACAAGAGTAGAGAGGGATGGAAACAGAGATTTTTATTCTGATGATTTTGAAAACAGTGATGAAGATTTCTTTTTTGCTAAAGACAACGATGAACTTAAGAAAAGGTAAGCGTCCGAAACAGTATTGAATTTTGTTGACTCATTTATACTATCGAAATAATTATGTCGTAAGAAATTATGGACTATGTATGCAAATCATTTCAGACAAATATGTCACTGAATACTAACAAAATATAGAAGTAAAACTGAGGAGTGGCTACAGATTGATTAAGACGAAAAAATATGAAACCTATTTGATTTTGTAATTAACACTCGTCGTCAATTTAAAAGCGTGATAAGATCGTGAATGTTAAAAGCATTTATAGTTATGACAGATCGTAACAGGTGAAGAACAATTAAATGAATGGTTTCATTTCGCAGCCGGTCACGAATCATTCAGTTTGATAAAACCAACGAAGGCAAAGCAATTGGAAAACTAATTTCTGATTTTACCTTTGGCAAGGTGTTTTCATTGGATATTCGGGGTTTTCTAAGGAGCAGCGCGTTTTATATAAAATTCGCTAGATTTTGCATTTCTAGATTTCGCGTTCATAGGCGAATTACATACCAGGTTAAAATTGTGATACGGAGGCCGACTCTGAGTCAGAGGTGAACAGTTTCAGTTAAGCTGACGCAGTTGCAACTCAGTAAATAAAGAAAAGATTTATAATAACGCTTTCAACAAAGGAAAGTAGAATGAATTGAACTTCTGGACTCATTGTTCTTGAGTCCTAGTTAGGATGAAAATTATTATAAACAGTGTTCGAATGGAGAACAAACCCGCTGTGCATGTCTTACTACGTAACATTTGCATTTCAAAGTCATGGTTCGATGTATTTGTCAGCAAAGGATTCTTGCTTCAATAGAGATAGGAAAAAAGTTCAATGATACAGCGAGATTTCTATTTTCCATCTCAATACCTTTGTGAGTCGTTATGGTGTCAACCTCTTTCCCAGGGCCTTTTCCCATTTCACCCCCAACTCCACTCCCAACTAAAGGAAAAGGCCCTGGGAACGAGGTTGGTTACGATGTAAGAACTCCGAAAGTCAAAGCTTACGTATAGTTTGAACTAAAAGTTTCTCGTTAATCTTGACAGCTTTGATTATAGTGATTGGGAGACTGCCAAAGGGATCGAGATCAATGAAATAAAAAAAAATGACGAGGAGGAGGAAAATGACGAAAGAAAAGAAAAAGAAGAGGAAAAAGAACAAGAAGAAGAGAAAGGAATCCTGAGAAGGTTGTTCGAAAAGTTCAAAAACTGGGTTCATAAAGTTGGAAAATAAGAACAGACAGGGCAACGGCTGAACTTGACTTTTCGAGTGTTTTCAACGCTTGAGAACTAACTTACTCAGGTGGACAATGAATCAATTCACCCTCTCTGCTATGGGGGGATATGTCTAAAAAATAAATTTAAAGGGTCATGAAGTTTCTATGAGCATATCTTGCAAAATTTCCTGAAAGGGAACTCAGAAACGTTCAAAATCTCCTTGAAAAAAAAATTAAGTGCAGTGGACTTTATGCAAGAGATTTTATTCTTAAATGTTATCACAAATGTTACAATTTCAATTCTTAAGATACCTAATCTTTTTCAATCCTTTTCAGTACTTTCTCTGTCTTTGCCAAAATGACAGAACAGATCTTTTCTAAGCATTTTAGGAGGGAGTACTCAAAATACAAAATGGGACGATTTTAGAAAGACAGAGTGAAGGTCAACCTGAAATTGCCCAAAATATTTTACTAAACTTTAACAAAAAGAGCAGTTCCTTACAAAAACTACAAACAACCTAAGATAACCAAATGACATGCGGCATTCGGAGCCTCATCATTTTGTTCCAAGTTCGAGTCGTTTCCGAGCAGAGACCTTTTTGCACTCTTTTCCTTATTTATCTTTTGCAATCTGGATTAAAAATTAAGGGAAATTAGATGAAATTAGTATTGCTGTGTATTTCTAAGCTTTATTCGATAAATGACTAAATTCTGCTGTAAAATACAAATAATTAATAAAAGCCAAGTAGTTAACGCGAACTGAAAATTCTACTTGTTGTTTTGTAAACGAATCACGCTCAGAAATTTTCTCAGGTGTTCTTCAAATTCATAAAAATTCTTGCAAGGCCAACAACAACCACATCCTCCAGTTATAACCATCGAGCTTAATGATATCACCATGATTGTCAACACGATACGTTCAGCGTTTCCGCGCCCGAATTTTTCACTAAATGATTAAGGCCTTAGGGTAGAAAAAGTAGCTTAAGGGCCAAGCAATGAATCCCTTACAACCTAACATCAGTATGCATATTCTCCATACTTTTCTCTATACATTCCCTAAGGTGCTGACAAGGAGAACTTGTTTAACAATCAACAGCTTCTTTGGTTTGTGATCATTTCTTTTATTCTCCTGACCTTGATGTTTGATTCAGGGGTGATATTGTAAGGAGAAATTAGACGCTGGTCACTCTTAGGGTCAGAGGGTTAGGCTATCAGGTCTGAAATATTGAATACACAATTGACCATCATAACTGTCTTGAAGAACTAAGGTCACACTGCAAAACGGGTTCACCACACTGTCTTTGACCTCCATTTCTGTCAAAAACTCAGCTTCAGCGTAGGCAATTTATTATTTTTTTAGCAAACGTTTGGATGAAAACAGTACCCCACGTTTCTTGCATCGAACCCTCAGCCAAAAATCGTTTGTTTTGCCCGGTCACGATGAGCTAAGACATGACTTGGCGGAGTCCCAAAGCTCAGATACCTTCCCAAGCGTGCAGTGCGTCGCGAAAGATACAGGGATATCTATGTGCTAAGAGAAGGGGACTCAAGGGCCATCAATTAACAAATTGAGAGCAGTCTGTAACTAAGATTAGCCGAAAAATCGTCATCATGAGGCATACCTTTAACCCTTTCACCTCCAGGGGTGCCCAGAATATAATTTCTCCTTGCATTAAAAATAAAATTTCAAGCAGCTCTAGAGAGCGCGCGACAAGTAAGAAACATTTCAACAAGGAGATAAAGTTTAATATAAATGTAACTTCTTAGAGCAAAATTCAAGAGAGATGTACGGCAGAGAGCGCTGAGAATTGATCCATAGATCTTGGGTGTAAGAGAGTTCACGGTCAATCAAAACTATTCATCGTTTTGCTTTCTATCTTCTTATCGAATCTTACATTAAAATCAGACGAGAAATTGCATGAGATATTCTACTATTGTGAAGTGGATTAACTCGGATCGCTGGGCGTGCAGAAGTCCCTCCGTTCAACCCACAGATTCCAATAGCACTCCCATGATCGGAGAGGTAATTCTCCCTTCTGACTTTTATTCGTTTTCTTGCAATCAGCCGAGAGAATTTAGTGTTACGTACGAGAAACATTCTCTAGCTGAGGTGTTTGTCAGTTACTAAAACTGCAGACACGCTTTGGTTTTATGAGCGTGGAAACAGCGTGGAGAGCACGCTGCATATTGTCCTTAGGGTGTAGTGGGTTTGTGACACGCCTCTGAATGCTTCCCTTTAGATTTCCTCTACCGTCTAAGGTATGAATCAGTGGGCTGTCACAAAGACGACCCAGAGAGAGTCATAAACTCTTTCGAAGGAATGGACAGTCTCCTCAATGACAGCTATAAGCTGAGAATTGATGCTACTAAAAGTGTGAGAGGGTTTAAAAACTCTCCACGATAAAAAAGTTATGAAAATGCACAAAAACTTATTTAAAAAAAAAACATAAAAACTTACGACCTTTCGATATTGTTTAACGTCATTATTAAGTCAAGAGTAAAACTCTGAATAACGAACAAAATCTATAAAGTAATAAAAAAAAAACAGTAAAGATATTTTTCGTCCCTAAGGGTACAGTTATCAAAGGTGAAATAACAACTGTGTGTCAGGCAAAAAAATTGGCGCTAATCGATCGAATCTTCTTGATCTCCCACATAATTATTTTTTTTTGGGGACATCAGATCTTCTCTGATAAACCAGGCTGTCTCGATCCGCACCAAAGTTTTGTCTTAGGTTATGTGCTTCTGTAAGGACTAAAAAATGCTGTTCGAGACATTGTCTCAAGTCCAAGTTTATCTTAGTTTGAGGTGGTATTTCTAAATTTACAAAACTATTTACAGCTTTCTATAGAACTCCTTTACTTAAGTTGAAAATCTGTCTAAAGCGAGGGATCCTACTCTGTTTTTATAATTGAAACGATTACTGTACACCGAAAAACTTGTGTCAAATATTTTGGACCCGCCTTTTGAAGTGGGAAAATTCATTTGAATTACAAATAATTTTTCAAATTAATATTCATATTTGCGCTCAGTCTTACACGTGGAAAGAGCTTACGAACTACAAGAAGTTTGAGCGTCTTTTTTAGCTCCTATGGAGCCCAAAAAATAGGTCATTTTGACGCTATTACCTTGGATATTGTCTGTTTCTGTCCTGGTCTGCGAGTGTTTCTTAAGCTGGATCATGTGCCACATTCAGATACGATGTCAAGGATTCATGCTTTTCACTTAGTCACGACTTTTCTTCAGGTATTTAACTTATAGAAGGATACATTTGGATAGAAATACAGTGCTCATCCTTCTAGTTGTGTCCCTTGTAAAATAAACTCACAGAGTTAATTAATGTAAGAAGGAAGAGCGTAATGCACATAGCACAGTGTAAGACAAATCTTCAGCGGCTGTCGCCATGACAGTTCTTCTTCGTACCAACGCGCGAGAAATTCTTGCTTATTGTTAGTGTATTTATCGCTTATTTCGTATTTCTCTTTTCATCCCTATACGTATTTTTGAAATAGCTTATCTGATTAGAGTGTATTGATCTAAAAGGTATAGTGTGATGACCTAAAGCAATTCAATCGCTCCATACTTCTTGGTGGCAATCATTGGTATTGAATTACTGTAAGCTTGTCAAATACTCGTGTAGGTCTAAGGTCAAAACATGTATAGCATTTGTATGTTGGCACTTCCTTAGTTTATCATCAACCGATAAAGAAAGTTTTAAACGGGATACTATAGGCATCGTAGAACCTAACTATCAACTTTCTGAGCTCGTGAGGCTGAAAGCAAATTCGGAAATAGCATGCCCCAAAAATTGATATTTTTCGATTTGTTCGCGGAATTCGTTTTAAATTTGAAAGTTGTTTTTACTCTTTTAGTAGGGAATATTGGGAGATCAGTCGGCACTTTTGGCTAATAAAAAGAAAATTACCATTTGCCCATAGAGTTTAAATATTCTATTCTAGTCAATAAAATGGTTTGGGAATTCGGTTTACAAGGAGGTTAAATTAATGCGTGCTTTTCAGTCTATTCTTGTGTTAGATATGAGTGCACTTGGCCGGCTTAAAGATTCTTTGTCTTGAAAAAGCAACATGAGAAAATACTTGGATACAAAAGTTTTAAAGTTTGAAACAAAGGTTTGAATACGATTTGCTTCATTGGTTTTATTTATTCACCAAAGCACAGTACCTGTAAAGTATTTACTGCTACCCTAAAGAAAATCTCAGTGATTCAATATCAAATGGCTTTGCCTAACCCTTCAATTTACTAAGATCTGTTTGTTAATTCTCCCCTCTAGCTGCTACACATTTACTTGTAAATCAATTACGAGAATTTAGTGTTAGATCAAGACATCAACTTGTACCTGATACATTTGAGTATTCTCTTCACCTGTTTGCGGATTATATATATCTTATTAACCAAGCGCGAGGGCCGTAGTGGGAGAATATCGACCCGAGGTCTTGACAGTAAGGACCGAGCGCAGCGAGGTCCGTACAAAAAAGACCGAGGGCCGATATTCTTCCAGTACGGTCCCGAGCAAGCTTGGTTAATAAGAGATTTATTATACGACTGAAGTTCAAAGGGACACAAGTGCGGTATCATTTGGGACCATTCGGGACAGTGCCTGGTCCAATACTGAGAGAATATTGACCGACAATAGAGCATTTTGATTGGTTGATTTTAGTTATTGGCCCTCTGACTGCCCGAGTCGTGTAATAAGTATGGATATTGCCACGAGAAGCTACATGTTAATCAATTCTGGGAGTAAGCGGGTTAGCAATAAAAAGATTCCAAATAAATCTAGTCTTAAGATGATTCATTCAAAGATGTTCACCGGGAACGATTTTAGGATAAAATTAGATAGCTTGATTTCATAAATTTTACCAAAGTTATTTATCAATGAATAATTTCAAAAGCACATTTTGTGAAAGGAGTGATTTGTAGTTTTTCACTCTAGCATAAACGCCGCTCAGCCATTTCTATTTCTTATTGTTAATCACATGTTCACAAACTCTTGTGAATTCTCACACACCAGGACTGACACTTAAATTTACATTTAGATCTAAATACTCTTCTGGTAATTATTCTATCTGGATTTGATGCGAACATGAGCTTGCAAAAATATTCTGATTCTTTAAGTTTTTGGGTTTTCTCGTCGAAAATTTGAACAAGAGCAGAGTATTTGAACAGGCACTCTGCGAATGATCAGAGATTAAATTCATCCCATTTGTGCTCGAAAATTCTTTCGCGTTGTCGAGGAATTGCTGGCGAGCCGGCATAGACTAACTATGACTAAATGCTGTTGCTTGACTCGAATTTAAAAAAAAATGGCTGAAAACAAGCAAGCGAAAAGCAAAAAGTAAAATATCATGAAATCTAACTTGAAGTTATTTCGACGACAATAGCTGCAACAAAATTCCTCGAATTTAATTCTGAGAATAGTTATCAGTGATCGCTTTGAATTTGTCGTTAAATCCAGGTTACGTTCAACTTAATTTTGTGTGGTCACGTAGTACTTAACGATTAAAATACTAAATTTGTACCCATTTAGTAAACACGTGTTTCTGCGACAAATCAACGCTCCACTATTATTTTTTTCTCAGTTTCTAAGACTTCGTCGTTTATGTAGGGATGACTAGTACTCTGATTTCCAACACAAATCAGAGTCAATATGCCAGTTTTTCGATAAACGTGGTTACCCTGTTTCTGTCGTTCAAGCGGGTTACCACCGCGCCCAACTTATTGATCGACATTCAGCACTACAA